GCATCGCTTAGAGATGAATTTACGAGAAGCCATTTGAGCTCAGTTGCACCCTGTTGCTAAGTAATCATTACAAAACAGTGATAGATTTATACTTTGCGGGGTTTGCAGTTCAGTTTCTATAAGCTTTTAATTACTCTGTTCTGTGTTATTTCGCGTGACTGGATTGTGAACGGACTGCTGTAGAGAAGCACGCAAAACAGTGATTAGTCCACTGAGATTTCTGCCGTTTTTTTTATTAGATACAGAATCGTGCCTGTGACGGTTTTTTTTTCTTTTCAGCCACGCGACAGTCGAAGTCGATTTCAAACGAAGTAGTTATTTTGACCAGATCTGAAACACGTTCCTATCTTGACTTGACTATCCGAATGGGATCACAGTGTCTATTATTTGCAATGTCAGATGTTTCTTTGCGCCTCAACCTTTGCGTGTTGCTGGCCACGAAGCCATATTGCTACTGATTGTTCTCTTCTCGTAAAAAACAAGCGACGAGGTCACTAGGTCATACGCTGATTTTACAGAGATAATGGCGTTCTGTTTTAAATATTTCTTCGTTTGACCACATCGTTTCCTTTTGGTCTCGACAGTCAATCTCAGATTGAAGAGTGAATTTAATAAGGCTTGTACCTCTGACACAGCTGGACACTGGATGAACCAATGGGCTTAAAATGGATTTGTTTTGACCTGTCGCGCGACCATTGCAAACACCAATGATCTATTGTACATGGAAACCGTGATTTTTTTTAACGTTCAATTAGTTATCTGGTTTAACTGCAGGCTATCCACCCTCTTAAAATAAATGTTATTAGAAAAATACACGCAAGGCACCTTTATTAAAATTAAAAAAAATAATAACTACTGCCAAACCATTTTGAATAGCCAGTTGCCGGAAAAATGCAAATTAAAAGGTCGAAACTCCTTGCTCACGATATAGAAAAAAACTTTCTTTTGAACAGTCACTAACCAGAGTTTATTTTTTATGCACCTTTTCGCAATTTTGCATGTAGATTCGCTCTTTGGAATTGACGCATTTAAGATACGTCTTCTAGGTCGAAAACTCCATCGCGAAGAACGCATTGCGCAACTTTCCGCGTCTTTCCACGCGGAAATACTAGAGTAATGCCTCGTAGCTTTAGTTATTTTTACGAATCGCTTGCAGTAAGGTCTTTTTCACTACCAAAGCGATAGCAAGCAACATTCGTATTAATGCATTACAAATAAAACGAGTTTATACACATTGCTTGCGAAGTTTACATCTCGACAACAAGGTAGCATTGAATACAGCCTATCGCTATTTTTAGTTCCCTGCTGTCATCCGAATTTATAGTTCTTTTCATTTGTGTGCATAAATTTTAAGAGATCGAAACTTCTTACCTTGCATTATTCTGAAAAATTTTGTTAGGGAAGTTTTCATTTTCATTCACAAAATTTCTTGTGTTGAATTCCACTTCGTTCTATTTGTACTTGGAAGTTTTGCGTCATATTCTCAAATTTGGACCACGCTCAACATACACACGTCAAAAAAAAAATTGCTTTCTAATATCTGCGTGTTTGTCGCATGCAGCTTACACGAGATATGCAAAGTTTTTTATGATCCAAACAGATGAATTATTTCGCTTATCTCTTAACTTGAAATATATCACACATTTGGTATCAAACATTTTATGTTGCGATGTCAAGAATTCTAGCTGAGAGCTTCCAATAAACATATATATCCACAAGTTCCCAAAAATACAAAGCTTATGATTTGAAGGTTTATCTGTAACAGGTATGTTTTCAAGTGGTTTTCCCTCAAAATCATTTTCGAAGCTTCCCCTAAAGAACTGACTGTGAAAGAATACGTTTCCATTTTCGGTATTTTTGACAAAAAAGGGGCACGTCGTTAAATTCAACTGGTATTGTAAGTCTCATGGTTGTGTAACACATCTCGAAAATGACTCTGAGAAAATATGTGTTTTCCTTTTGCATTGAATTCACAATGGCAAAAACTGATGGCTTCGATTGTCTCTGAGGTCGGGAATTTCTTGAGTACACAAAACATTATAATGAACAAAGTTAATCGTTATTAAATGCCTTGGAATCGACTGAAACTAGTTTTAGATCCTCGAGGTTTCTTTGCCGCTCCGGTCAATACAATAAATCGTAGAGAAAACGATAGACTGTTGTTTTCTCTTTTTTTTTTTTGCCTGATAAACGTAGCGATTCTCTCCACCGGACAGCATATCTTTATATTGTTTTGAAAAGAGAAATTACGGGTTTATCACTCCTTAATTACTTTGCACTGATAGCGAGAGAAACTAGTGTAGCAATACACCGTGAAAATTTGAGTGCTTCCGGAGTTTGAGAAAGAAACAATGGTTTTCTGCGATTTTAGCAATTATACAAGGCTAATTGCTTAAGGTTGAATTTTTAATTTCAAGTTGTGGTATATCGGCTAAACTTACAAAGAAAATTACTTTTGTCGTTGTGATGCACCGAACAAAAGGTGTTTTGTACTCTGTGTCGGAGGTTTGAAGGGTAGAACTGAACACAGTCAAATATCAGTGGTCCAAAGGGCATCAAAACAACTTTTAGGTAAACATCTATTGTCCGAGTGCAGTGAACTTGAATGGGTTCTGGGATTTTAATTAAATCCCACAAAATTGTGAAAGGCGTCTTGCTATTCTTATGGAGCTAGGTTTGTAGTGGAGCTATCACGTGCTCTGCAAAGAACCTCTGTTTTTAGATTGCAACGGTTTGGAAGTTGAGCCTTTTGACAAAGAAACTACTCGTTCATGGTGACGTATCTTCGATTTTAGATTGAACTTGAAAAACCCTAATGCACTTGTGTGTTGTGTTGTTTTTGTACGAAGATTTGATTCAAACATGAGCAGATTTTTATCTCGTCCTATATCACTGCATCTTGAATTTAATGCAGGTCTACGGTGGAAAGAATTATTGTCAGACCTATTCACCCCTCGATAATTAACTTGTTTTTTACTTTAGAGATGCAAAGTAACGTTTATTAAAGATTCCACTTGTCCGGCGTCAGTCTGTCACCGTTTCTGCACTTCCACTTAAGACAAATTACAAAGGGTGAAAGTATTCAGGTCTTTATGGCGATTCTTTGACGCTATTTTTGACTTTTTGTAACAATAGCCGACGGTAATGTGCACCGCTACCAGTCTGCAAGGAAGAACCATTCGGCTTTCACGCTCAAAGCCACAATCTAAGTGAAGGTTCAGCCTGATATTGCGGTTGTCTTTGATCAAATTCGCGAGGTGCTTGAAAATAATACACCGCCGCAAAAACATAGTCACCTATTGTTCTAAAAGCGGGTCTACCCACTTCGCTCGGTAACAACTACAATACTTTTCACTTTCGATGGCCTGTGAATTGAAAGGGAATTATCTGTGTGGGAAGGTGCGTTGTTTTTGTCCAAAGAAACAGTTTTTCCTGAGATTTTGAGTTTATGCCAATGGAAATTGCGATATTGCCTCGCTGCGAACAGTAAGAATCTTTGATCAAAATCAAAACACTTATTGTCTAGTGGAAGACATAATCGAGTGTGTTCGTTTCAAATCACTGTTTGGACTGACAAGGCAGTGGCGAGGTTGTTTACGTTACCATAAAATAATGTTACAGAATTAAGACAGTTTTTTCGTTTCCAGGTACGGTTTCTGTGTTAGCAAGCACAGCAAACCTAAAGTATAACTTGCGGTTCTGTACAATTTAGAATCATCAGACAACTTTGCCTTTTGAGATTGTTCGATTCCGTTACAACTTTAAATGGCTTACGCCATCTGAACCCATTCAAATCAATAGAAAATTCAAGTTAGACTCTAGGACAAATGTTTTTCAAGAAGGCTTTGGGGAATAAATTTGTTCAGTGTATTTTTGCTTTCATTTTCCTTTGTTTTGAAAATGAGTGCAGATCGTGGGCGGACACAGATTGCGACGTCATTTCCTCGTGACAACGTCTCCAGATCGAACTTTTGTTTTTAATCTTTTAGACGTGAAGGATATAGCCATGCAAGGTGCAGGCACATGCTCTTAAAGCCAGGAAACACTTCGAGAGCCTTTTATATTCAAATGGGTTTTTGTTGTTTTCCTTTATGTTTGTGACTCTTATTCATTAATTGAGTTTTTATTCCGTTTTTTTAATTATCTCCTTTTATGCTAACAACAAAACTGGGTAGCGTTCGTTTCACGCAGTCAGTTAATAAACCACTCGTCATTTAGAGGTAAATCTTGTCGTGTCTTCAAAGAGGTGACCTTGTTAAGAAATTAGGAGGAATTTAGCAGACCAAAGCTCATTCGATTGTTGATTCTTGATTCATGGCTTAGCCTGATTTCAGCAGTAATCCCCTTAGAGGTTTCAGATATATTTAGTACTGCACTTAAATTTGACGAATTTTCATGGGTTGTCAATGCTAGGGCTTTTTTATGGGTTAGTATTACTGTGCGAAGCTCGAGGCTCGAGGGAGATTCACAGATTGTGGTTTTTCTTCATACTTCAAATCCAGCCGTCCGTTTATCTTGTAGAATTTGATCTCATAAAAGACAGATTGTTTAGCGGGGAAAACTACTGGTTTTGTTTTTTTTTTCGTATTTAATCTCGTCAAAAGACATAAGTGTTCTTGTCTGCTCTAGCTAATTGTTAGCTAAATTTGCTTAAAATATACCCTTGGGTTGGATTTTCTGATGCACGAATACTTATTAAAGCTTTGCGAGTTAGACCTTCTCGAACTTCAACAGCGAGTTGATGTGTATGTTTGAAAACAGATTTTTAAAAATAATGATTATGGCTAATCTAAATAGTCTTTCAGGTTCATATTCGATGACATTCTGAAGAAGCCGTTGGTGGTTTTGTTTTAATTTTTGCCAGTTTGTAAAATTATGTTTTTGAAATTCCTGTCCAGGCACATTAACTTCGCAGCAAAATGGGTATTTCTCCGAGCTAAAAACATGGGTATGATTTTTGTGTGTGTGTGTGGAGTACAAATATTTCAGTTTCATTTCAGGTGAGATATTTTATGGAGGCTCTGCGAGGTCGAGTGCAGAGTCATCCAGAGGCCAATGTCACTCGCCAAAACACGAAAAAAAGGAAAGGGAAGGAAGTTGTTGTGTAAAGACGTTTTAATCCTACTCTGAAAAAATGTTTCGCCCTAATTTATGCGCCTGCTGAATCAGCAACCCTCAGGATCGCATGCCAAGACACGGAACAATTAGAATATCATTTTCAAATTTTTTCACTTTCGTCCTCGGTATTATAATTGACACCTTTCTCTGAGACGACCGAACGAAGACTTGTGAACGCGCTTAAGTCCTGAGACGATTTTTTAGTCGAAGTAATCTTCTTAAAAGGTCTTGAACTTTTTTTTTCCTTATTATTTATTAACGTAGGTGTCTTATTCACGAGTCAGTAGACTGGTTAAACGAAAACTGGAAAGTTGCCATTATTATTTCAATAGCAGCAGCTGTAGCTATGGCACTGCTCTAAACATTTTCAAATTAAGTGATGAGTTTGCGTAAACTTTGCACTAGTAATTTCGCGACATTTGAATATGAAAGAATAAAAAATTTTTCTAGTTATTTTGAAGATGGCAATTAATTCGAAATTAATCAGAGGTACCGAACACTTTGTTATTGCAACATACTGTTTTAATTCTGTTGTGATCAAAGTTTGTGGTAATGTTTATCTTTCTCGTTTTTCTTTATTTTTTAAAGCGAAGAGGCCAAATTTGGCGCAAAGCCATGATCTTATATCAGCCCTGGTTTTTTAGTGCACTACTTGTGGGTGGTTGGGCCGTGATTTAGGTCAGCGCTCGTCGTATGAACTGCGTTAGTCAGCGTATGATAATTTTGGGTCAATGTGAAGTCACGTCTAAAAACGAAATTTACTGCTGATCGCGTCGAACACATGCTGCCCTGAAGATACATGTGATAGTAGCGAACTCAAAGGATTTCTTTGAGGGAGGGGATACTAGGTCTGTGGCTATTTCAGGGGGCTGTTGTGTCTCTGGGTTATTTTTCTTTTGTTGTGCGCAAACCCGTAATTCGATTGTTTACATAAATTGCGTTCAGGAAATTCCCAAGGTCGCGCCGAGCTTTGTCGCGAAGTACGTGAGTGTAGAAACTGCAAAATGTCACCATGAGTTAATTTTACGAATTTAGCATTAGAGGGGGCCCCCTTTTGTTTTCAATGACCGTGAAGTCAGTGGCATGACAAGCCACCAATCGCAGCTTGTCCAGAGGTGTCAATCAAAAATCCAGTTTAGGTAAGGCAATAAAGTCGTGTGTTCGGCACGAGCGCGCATCAGACCATTTTAAATCTTCCGAAGGCATCAAAACATTGTAATCGAGAGAACACAAGCTTCTGGCGAAAACAAAACATGTCTTATCTCCAAAGTGCTGGTATATGGATGGCATCCACACTTTTTCTATCACCTGACGAGTCTCCATCACAGCGGAGAGCGTGCATTGCGGTGGGAAGGGAGCTTCGAAAGATCGCGGACGATCTAGAAGCATCCGCGAGACGGGAGAAAGTTAACAATGAACAGGCCATTGTTGTTGATGCAATCAAGGCTGTGTGTGCTGTTGCCGGTGTCTTCGTTGTTGGGAGACTTGTGTGGAATCTGCTCAACACTTGAAAGCCTTTTTGTCGTGTTGTTTCACTCATAAGGTAAGCGCTTGGATGCGATGAAAACAATTGTGTTATTCGCAGATATTAATAATCATGACTTGATCGCATACTTACAGAGAGGTCAAATTTGACGCTTTTTGTGTAGCGCGGGAATGATAGTGTAATCATCGTTTTCGTTGCCCTTCGCGTTTGGATTTTTGTCAACGATCGTGGCGCTCTGGAAATACATAACTAATCTCTATTTCTCTATTTCTCTTTTGCAGATGACACTGCGTATTCACTTGCTAGCCCTGAGGATGATTGACTCGCACAGCGCAAGAAAATATTTTTATTTCACGCAATACGACACTCGCTTCGAGACTGGCACATTAAGCACAGAACTGTGTTTGGTTTTGTACCTGATGGCTCATGTTTCATCGCCCTATTGTTGACAAACACAGGATTAAAAGCACTGAGAAGCCTCCGCTTCACAGACCAGGATGTCACAGCAGAGAGAACTAAAATCGCTTTTCCATAACAACAAAACGCAAGTCATCCGTGGCCGGAATCCGTGAAAGCCCGGCTTGACCATAACTTCTATTCAAGGAGAGACGCTCTGACTTTGTTTTAAAAATTCCGCTTAATTTATCGAGCTTCGCTAAAATAACAGCTAGTAAGTGACATTCACGTACTGGCGTTAGCATATCGTAGTTTACTGTCACTGTATATTGCGCAGCTTTCAAACGAAGGTCAAAATTTTATTCGTCGATCGACTGTCACCGAGAGAGGTTTTTTTTTTCATCTTTTTATTCGTCAGCGCTGACTGGCAGTATTAGTTAATTAATAGACTGTGACTCGCGAAATCATTACTGATATTGCATTTTCTGAAAGACACGCGCTTCTCGGGAAAAAAAATTAGGGAAAAGAGTGAAAAATCATCGACCTTGACATTTCTCTTCCGGAAACTTTTGTGAGGTGATCGCTGAAGTCACGTTGCTCGGTTCGCTGGCGAACTGTTGTCGTATGCTTGTGTGCTTCGAGCGAAAACACAATTCTCTTCTATGCTGTCGTGACAGAACAACATAAACATTTCACGTTCTTATTTTCTTTCATATGCAAATTTTTTATCTGTTGTCGATATGTATTGTTTTGAGAGAAAAGAAGAGAACTGAAAAGGTTTAGTTAGGTTACTGCTGTGTAGGATCCCAGATGCACGCTTTTATCACGAAACCTTCGTGTTAGAGACGGTTACTTTTATGGCAGGTACCAGACATTTTCCATGATTATTTCCATTATTATTAATAATGTTCTTGTTGCCACAAAAAAACACAAAACAATAGGAAATATAAATAGAGCGCTTTTATACATTCAGCCCGTTAAATTAATCGAACTTGAGCAATACTTTGTAAACTCTTGTAAATATCAAACTTTTTGTAAATAATCACCCAAAGTCGTATGTAAATATGTAAATAGCTTAATGATATTATTTCTATATACGCTGAAAATGCGACAGATTTGTAATGTAATGTTAATTCGCCTTTCAAGGGTTTTTTACCTGCAGCTTAAAACTAGACAATTCTATGTGGCTGCGTGAATTGCATCAATTCTTCTATTTAAAAAAAATGTTCCAGAGGTCTTATTTTTGTATTAAAAGAGGCTTCTTTAAGAAAAACTCGCTCTTGTTTTGGTGTCGTTAGTTAAGTACGAAGAGAAAGACTTTCCAGCTCTTTTTTTCAAAAGGGCGGTTTTGTAATTAACAGATTACAGTGCAAAAGCGTCGACCTCTTTGGAAGTTTCACTTTTTCTCTTTATCCTCTCGCGAAACAATAGGGCTTTGTTTTGTGTATTTATAAACTGATCTCGCTACCACACGTTCGAGATTACCAAATATAATGTGTCATTAGCAATACAGAAAGGAAATTTAACCACATCCTTCCGAGACAGATTTCTTTTGATTTTCGCCCTCGTTAGCTAGGTTTTGTCTACTAAGGTGAGATTTCGGGAATATGAGTTGAAATTTCATCCTGGCATTTATGGGTACCGGCATATGATTTTGTTGAACGTGAATGTCGGCTATTTTTTTCTTCATTTGAAGGTCTACGTGAATTAGCCGAAAGGCGGAAAGCCATTAGAAACAACATGTACGGCGGATGAAGGGCAATGTCGATATTTCTGATATTAATGCGAAAGGGTAAATAATTCTCTACCTATTTATCGCTCTGTCAGCAATATACGTTTTTACTTAAGGCTCGTTTGTGTTATTGTTTTACCGCGTGGGTAAAAGTAAGCTTCCCGCTGTCTGTAGAAGAAGGGAAATATTGTCTAGACTTGGGAACGTTACCAAAACTCTGTTAAAAACAATCTGTCGAAATTCGATGGCAACAAATGAAAAATAGTGCTTATGGCAGATCGTTGGCTAATCTGGTTAGAAGTCTTTGTAAAGCTCTTCCCAATGAGCTCTACAGAAAGGCGTTTATGGTATCGATGAGATTTGAGACACTTGTTTCAAAGTGACTTTTGGCGATAAGGTTCTCGGATTCGACAAGTCCGAACGCAACACTAACTTGAAGTGGTAAAACCAAAGAGCGATATTGTCTTGCCGCAAACGCAAGGAAAAACATGCTTTATACTCAGTTGAATCCAGAGTGGATATTGTAAAATACGCAAGATCTTGTTTTCTATGAAAATATTACCACTTTGAGGGGCTTTGATATAATTGTTTTGACACGATGAAATTTGCCCGAATCGATGTTGAAAATCAAATCTTTAATCCATCAAAAAATTGTCTAACGCAATTAGAGCTTAATAGTGGCACAATTTTTTTTCGGTTTCTCTCGAGTCAAGTGTTCTTTTGATGAACAATTTCCTACTTTTGGCTATGTGCGACGATCTCCAGACAATTTCTAGAAATTAATTGCCTTTGTCTAGTCGTTTTGGAAATTTTTGTAGTTTTGTTTTAGCTTATCCTGTGTTAAAGATATGTGTGCAAGAACCTCTTATACATTTCATTTGTCGGACAGTTGATTTTGTCGTGAATTTTTTTCTTGAGTCTAATTTATGGCTTTCTTTTTATCTTAAGATTGAGGAAAAAATAAGAATAAGTTATACGAATCAAGATTTGTGCATACTAAAAATATCGAAAAATTCCCTAGCTTTCACTTTTGTTGTAGCACACAAACAAATGTATTAAATTATTATTTTGCCAACGGTAATCCTTTCATTTAAACGGAAGGTGTTGTTGTAAATTTGATATTACGCTTGTTCCCTAATTTTTTATTGTTGTTAGTTGACTCTATGTTCAAGGAAAGTTTTTTCTTCCAAAATAATTCCATGTAATTGCCTCTTGTTGATTGTCACGCACGCTGTGGTCGCATAATTTCCCCAGTTTTGCTTTCGGTCTCCGTCATCTCGTTTGCACTCCATTCTTTAGCATTTTTCTTTGTTTTAAACCGTCTAAACCACCTAGGTGACGACGAACCGCCTCACCTGCACAACCTAGACTAGAGTATCGAATAGCTTCTGTAATCCATAAGTAACGCAAGCAATATTTTTTTCTTTATTTTTTTTTTAAACAGGAAAATTTGAACCACAACAAGATGATGCTTTCCAGTTCGTCATCCTTCTCCTTCTAATGCAATCTATGGTCGGCAGAGCACGAAATTTTTAAGTGTGTTGCTTCTTGGATGGGTGCCATGTCGTCATGTACTCTGGACTGTAAACATTTATGGTGATGAAATCAGGCATTTGACCTTGCTTGTTTTAATAATAGCACAAAAAATCTGCTGATGTAGTTCGCAACTGTTGTTGATAACATCGGGACTCAGTGGAAAAAAATTCAGTCTGACACTAGAATTGTCGCGGTTTTCCTCCTCAGTTGCATCGACTAGTAGAAAACGATCGAGAAGACGAAGGAAAAAGGTAGTTGACGGAAATCCGCATTCCCCTGTCAAGATCATATCAAAGACTTGACGACGTCAATATTGATAACACTACAAGGGCAACGCGAGGGCAACGACAACGTTTTAATTCGTATTCATCTTTATCTGGAAGTTTTGCGTTGGTAAACAGTTAAAGGACCGTAAAATCCCATCCCACAAGTGATCACGCTGGGAAAGTTACGTAATAAAATCGTTATATTGTAGCGTTTTCCCTAAGTTTTCATTCGTGTGCTTTGTTTTCGATTCCTATCAGTTTGCACTTGTAAAGCAAGGTCACCAGTAAACACGATTTAAGAATTGTAAATCTTCTTTCGGGCTGTGAAATCAGTCATCTTATTATCGTGAACCCGGTTAATTTTGACCTTGAAGCTTGCGTGAAAATATAGTATGATTGTAAAACTAATGGCTTTTGTCATCCAAATTTCATATCCGTGAAAAATTTAAAAATCCGCGGAAATTTGAAGGGAACCTCGTGAACGTGTAATTTCTATTCCGGAGTATTGTTGAAATTAAACATAGGTCATAGTCACAGTTTGCGGTTTGGCATTACATAACAAAGTCACGTTGCATAACATTTTGCACGAGGCTGGTCACGTCACGCACTATTGCCTTATCTATAGTCAACCATTTACACAGATTATAGCCTTTAAAGTGGTACAACTTTTCAGTTACTGGTCAGTTGTATCAGTCTGTTTCAATCTTCCATTTTCACACCAACGACTGTTTTCATTTTCCGAGTTGCACAAAGCCCGAGCGACCTTGGAAGAACCATCATTTGGTAATACGTCACAGCATTTATTCCGTCACACAATTACGATTTATCGACGGAGGAAACAAATTTGACAGCTGAGTAAACACTACTCGTCGAAAACACTTCTCAACCTAGAGTTTTAATTTCACTCTGAAAAATTATGAGAGATTGGAGTTCGACTGCATATCAAACAAATGTCTTCAAACTTGGGACTGTTGGGTACAAGTTAGTCTAACCACTTTGAACCAACAGTATAAAACGGAGTTGTGTAAACAACCCAGGAGAGAGGTACACATAATGGCCCTCTTTTTTTCCGTCAATTAGACACTTTGTACTCGCCTGACCCAGCACCAATTTGTTTTAAAAATGGGGAACATTAGCGTGCTTTCTCTTTCATTTTTTTTTTTTTTTTTTTTTTTTTTTTTTTTAAGTAACCGTGTAAAATAGTTGCAATTAACCTTGTCAGGCTCCTGACCTTGCACTTCCTTGCAAGGTCGTGGAAAAACAGAAATTTTATGCTAAAGGCTGGTTTGTCGTTTTTTCTTTTTCTTTTATTCTTTTCTTGTTTATGTCAATATTTAACGATCTGGCTTTGATTGAATCTTGGCTCAAAATGAAGGATGAGCTTACATCAACAATTGTTGACAAAAAGCACGTGAACATAACATGCGCAAGTACAGATGTGACGTGAAATAATTTCCATATCGCCTCTCTAGTATGAGATAATAAGCAGTATAGACTCCCTTTGTCTCCGGAACGGATTACACTGGAAATTGAGGACTATGTTAAAAAGCCGTCGGAAATATTCAGACACGAATTCATGGATGAAATGTGTTTACCTTCCTTCCAAATTGTTCCTTATGTCGGCAGGAGGTTTTTTTTTGTTTTTTTTTTTTTTATGTAGCGAAATAGCCATGCGAAATACAGAAAATTTATTCATCTGCACGTACACCCGTTTGTGGATGTAAACAAAAATGGTTTATATTGGATATTTGAATCCTAAATTAATCCTGTATGACCTTGGCACAGTGAAAATAAGTCTGAGCCAGTTTTTCTCCCGGCTAATTTCCCGCCAAATTTTGCCGGAACGAGAGCAACACAAAATCGTTAATGTAAACACTTCATCATTTGATGACAGGGGCGATATCGTGCGTGTGTTTCATTTTTCATCATAAAAACACGAAAACCGAAAGAAAGGGTACCCGATGGCGTGTGTTTAAGTTTACCCCTGACAGATGTAATCTCTTTTTGCGTAAACGAACTATTTCATTAACGAAAACAGCGTGCAGTCTACACGTGAAAAATTTGCCTCCTCAGATCTCTTCAGAATGAAAACGAAATGAAAATTCACTTTTGGTCACGTTTTTTTGAACGCGTTAACAAAAGTTTGGTAGTAAAATAGACAGCAATCTAGTCGAGAAGAAGTGTTAAATCGGGGAAGTTGTTAACTGTTAACATGCTGAAATTAAACCGGTCGATTTCGTGTTTTTGGCGCGAAAACATAGCAGTACGGAGTAGATATGCCCGGGCTTGTCTCGACTGGAAAACAAAACAACATTTGTGTGACTTATATCGATCGTTGTTTTAAAACAAACTTTTTTGACAACGATTGATTTCCGTTTAAAGTGGAGAGGAAAGTACTTGCCGGTGTCGACAGAACAAAGAGACATTTTCAAAGTTGAAGTAATGATTAACGCGTATAATTTCTACGTGCAGATGATTTCCGGTCGTAGTTTATCAAGGTATTTTTATATTTGAGTTCTTACAAGTTGTTTCCGGTCAGTTTAAATGGGAAAGTCCCGTAAACTTCCGCCAAAATAAATCCACAGGGGGTAGAGGCGGGGTTTCCGGAGAAAGGACTTTATCGATACGCTCTTGAAAATGTTGGAACCACATTTACTTTTTGCTAGAGAAAAAAAATTAAGTGCAGCAGCTTGAAATTGAATTATTCGCCTTAGAATTGGATGTAATGAATAGCAAATACAAGTATTTCATTCACTTACTAAATATCGAATGGAAATTTGGTCGACCTCTAGATATGTGGAAACATATTAGAAACCAGCGTAAGACGGTTCTTTCTACCTAGGTAACCGATGTTTACTTTTTTGGAAGCCAAAGGAATTTACTGATTACAAAGTACATTTTGCAATTAGGTTATTTCATGAAATGTTCGGCGTTTAAGTGAGCCCTTAAGGTTGTTGAAGGGTTCTTTAAATAATTGTCAAGGGCGACCTAAAACTAACGAGGTGATCCACAATCCCAACTACTAAACGAATGACAATAATGAATCTCGTCCAGAACGTTTGGCTTATCAGGCCTTCGGGAACAAGAGTACACTTTTTGTACGGTTTAATTATTATTAACGTTCAATGTGAGAGCTCTTTTATGCTGACCTCTAATCCGCAAACGTGTCCATCCCGTTCAGTAATCGGTGAAAAAAAAATTTCATGTCTGAATTAGTCCCAAATGTTGCTTTTACAGAGCTGAACAGGTGAACTAAATTAAATTTGAAATGCTGGGTACGATGCTATACATGAAGAAACAGACAATTATGTTAACTCGATGGGGTGACGGCTTTTGCCGCAAACAGTTAAAATTTTAGCCATTTTACGTTGCGATGGAAAGGAAGATTTTTAACTGAAAACTTTTTTTACCGCTGTAGGTTAAAATTTACCAATTTACCTACGGTTAATTTTTTTGCTGTTTTTTCGGTGAATGGTTGACCCCAACCGTGCACCTGTACAAAAATAAGAGTAATTTTTAAAGCAGCTTCAGAGAATAATTTAAGAGCAAATGCAAGATTCTTAAGCACTAAAAAAAAAAAAAAAAAATTAATCGCTTTTTGCAAGATGTGATCAGCTATCAGTTAACCGTTATCAGTTACCCGCTTATACCCAAAGCGTTCGATATCGGCGCCCCAAGATGCCCATGCAATATTCTGAATATATTGATGAAGAAAATATCTGTGAAACTGAGCTTTTTATAGAACAAAGTTTCTATTTTCACTCTGCGTGTTTACCATCACAAATCAGTTCAGAAGCGATGGGTCTAATATCAAATGTAATTTTTTGACTAGCAAACAAGGCGCTTTTTTTTTTCGATAAAGCATATCAACAGCATTTTTTTCCATACCTAAAAAGGTAAAAGGCGGACGTTTACTGCCTCGTTTATTAGTATTGTACATGCTTTATTTTAAGAAAATCTTGATAATGTACAAAACATTTTAATCAAATTGGTGTTCTGTGCTTTCTGGTGGGCTCCCAGTTTCCGGTCCGTGTCTTTCCCACTACTTTTAGTAAGGTTTAACTAAAACGGGAACAGTTTGCGGTTTTCCCCACCAAAAGAGTAGGTCGAAAACAAAAAGCCAAGAGTTCGCAGTTTTTCGTGCCATTTTAGTAAGGTCACAATATTTGCTGCAAAAATAGCTTATAAAAAAAAAAAAAGAGAAAAAGATAGATCCTGTTTTTCACACCTAATATCATGGGAACAGCTATCGGCCTTTCTTGCATTGAACGAAGATGCCAATATAGAGCAAAATGTAATGAAATTACACTAAGTAACATTGCAATAAGAAAATTCAACGTCTATGGTGGAATAAAATTAGGAAGGGATCAGCCTCTCGAACTGATTCGTGAGCCCTCTGCGACTTATGCCTCCCGTGCCTCTCGTGCATCCCATGTCATAGCGTGCCACGTCTATATAAATATCACGAGATTGTTGCTTTCAGAGGGCATCATTAAAAGGTTGCCCCAGGCGAATGCGAGAGCAGTCAAGCAGATGCACTTTTTATGACCCCGTTCTCATATCGCCTCTTGGGACGCGAATCATGGACTGGACGTGTTGAAATTGAAATATTATGAGAATTCGCGTCGCCCAGTTTTGTCTTTTGTCTTTTTTTTTGTTTTGTTTTGTTTTGTTTTGTTTTGTTTTTTTAGCTGGCCTTGAGTTCGTTCGGTCGGCGTTCAATACTTATCAATTTTCTTGGAAAGGATAACGCAAGGCAACTACTAAAACAGCTGATATAAACGGCTCTAATTCCTAAATCAGCCCAAGAAAATCACACGATACAAAGGTACAAACGCTTTAGAGAGGTAAGTTAGTTTTTAGTCTAAACAAGTTCAAACAAGTTTCAATTTTTTTAGTTAGAGATTGCGACCGATTATTCCCATACAAAACCTTACATTTCGCTCATTACGAAACGCAAAAATATTTGCATGTTTGACGGCTCATTGTGCGAGCTGGAGATACTACAACTTATTAGCTCGAAACCCACTTGCCGAATAAAGGAATCCTTAATTAAAGACCTTTAAATACCTTCATATTTGCTTGTGTGCTTCAGTCAGTAGACCACTAAAGGAAGAACTAAATCATTAGATCGACGGGCGTTGTTGACATCCAATTAGCTATATTTTCCTAAGCTTTTAGCGAAAGTGTGCGGACATGAATGTATTACTGACTTTGATCGATGGCTGAATTCGGTATCTTAACTTTTGTTCGACTATTTCTTTTAAAACAAGTCTGGTATACAGACCTATTTGTGACCACAGAAAATAGCAATACTTTGTTGGGGTTACATAATCTCCATCTTTCCAAGGCCATTTTTCTCGGCTAAGAAAAAAAAAATCGATCCCCTAAAATTGCGTCAACAAAAAAGAACAACAAAAAGCCAAACAAAAAAAAAACAACCTATCAAACAAAGCTTTACTCCCTTCGACCATTGGGCTAAATCCGAGATGTTGAAAGCATCGGTTGAAAAACGTGGTTTTTGACACCTCCACGATCTTTTTTTCACTCACGCACGTGACTTCCACAAGAAAGGCATTGCAAATTAGTATTTAAACTTTTGACAATCAATTGAACAGGTGGATCAAACCCTTATTTATCATCTTCACCGCCACGTTGAACAAACTCACCTTTCACATTAACAGTTTTTTCGCCTGGTCTCGTTCCGAAAACGAGGCTTGCCGGAACTCGGAAATGGCTGTTCTCAGTTCTCAAGTTAGCGAAGAGGAAGGTGGCAAGAAAGGGACTATCATCACACTTCTTAACACACTGTTTTAAATTAACTCACACCTTTAATTTAATCGTTACTGATATTTTCAAACTGTGGCTTTATAAGCATATCTGTAATATTTCAAAATGTTAAACAAACTCTGTCGAGCAAGCTCGAGCAGCTACATCTACCTTCTAGACAGTTCTAGAAACATTTTAATTACTTTCATTGAATTGCGGTCTAATTAAAAATATATGGAGACAGATTTTGTTGCCTTTTATAATTCGGCGAAGATGGTTGACCTTTGAGGGTGAGGGAGGGGGAGGGGGAATGGAAAGGGTTTCCTCACCCCCTCCCTGCGGAAAGCCGTATTCGTCCGACAGGGAAGAGATATCTTATACCAAATTTTTTCATACAGCGGAGGAACTGACACACGAAATTATGGTGCCACTCGACAAGCTGCCAGTGATGATCAAGGAATGAGGTTACTTCAGCAAATGTTCAAAGAACCATCTCGCCATGTTTATAAACGAGTCGCTCTCGGCCTCGACTTTGCTGATTGGATGATTGTTATCAGGATACGAAAGCAACCTAAAAACAGTGTAAGAATAGAGAAATTTTCAAATAAGTGTTGAAAGAAATCCAGGATTGAATTGGTTTTGCTTATGTCACTTTGTGATTGATCCAGATTCAAAACTGAAACTAGTCGCGACTTGGTCGCCCGCGTTTTTACTTCGAGTTCTCATTGGTTACTCGTGATATTTTCCGTGCTGTGATTGGCTATAGTGTTTGTTTGGTTTTATGATACTCAATGGAAAAGCGCTCTATCTATTTAAAAAATAGATACCACGTCGCTGTACGTTTGTTCAGTAACAGATCACAGAGGACGTCAAGATTTGGTTGAAACAAAAAGGTGACACACAAGGCGCAGCCAAGTGTACCACTTCTGTTTTTATCAATAAAGGAGGTAAGTTTCTAAAGAAACTGTGGTGCTGCGTCGGTGGGAGAGTATAACAGGGTTATTTAGTATTATCAACGGAGTTGATAACGTAAATTGGCCACCGTAAAGAGCTTCAAAGCTGACGTTTCTACGATTCGCATTCGCTCTGACGAAGGGCTAACACTCGAAACGTCTGCTTTGAAACTCTTTAAGATGGCTAATTTACGTTATCAACTCAGTTCTGACGTCTTCTATGATCTATTACTGAACAGATCCGCGGCAACATGGAGTCTATTTGTTTAACCCTGTAATTAACCCCTAGGAGTGATTGGCATCTAATTTCTTCTTACAGTATCACCACGTGACGTCATCGATGAGTCTGTCCTCCAGTAGATCATAGGTAAGAACCAATTGCATAATCCAGCTTGTTATATACCATATAGCAACATATTGTAAGCTAAAAAAAACTCGCGTTTTTTATCAGTTATTGTTTATGGTCTACTAGAGGGCATATGCTTAGATGTCGTCACCATGAAAATTTTGCTTCATCATTTAAAACCAATAGTTTCCATGTTACCGTGTGCATGTTTCTGGGGATGGCCTGGAGCTCTGTCTAAAAGCGTCGACACCAAACACTTACCTCGTCTTTGTTCCTTGAGCTTTTAAAACTTTGTAGTATTTTCTTCCTTGACTTGGAGGAACCCGCAGGTCATCCTCTCCCAACATGATCAAAATTGGAGTTTTAACCTGCAGCATAATAAAATTGCGATTAATAATTTCTTCAACAAGTCTTTTTGTTTTCTCAATTTCCCACAAGTGCGTTGTGTTACGCCTGTCACGCAACGAGTGACGCACAAATCACAAATCACAAACGCGCTCTACCTTTTTAATGAGGCTGAAGGGAGATTCTTCCAGCATTTTAACTAACGTATGGCCATCTAGAACAGCATCATGACGAAATTCTTCTCCATTTTCAAAGAAGCACCTGTTAGATTGAAGGAACAAAAAAAAAAAGCAAAACAAAACAAAACGAAAGGATGAAAAAACAAGGCAAAATCAAAAAGAAAGAAAAAAATTACAAAAAAAAATAAACATAAACAGAAATGAAAGAAACCAGAGGTGCGATCGTTTTTTTTATTCCGCGTAACTCCCTTTTCTTTAAAAAAAAATTTGAAAGTATAGAGAATCGATAAATGTGAGTTGTAAAGCTATGGACAAACCCTTTGATCCCTAAAAGTGACAAGCATCTAATTTCTCCTTACAATATCATCCCTAAATCACACATTAAGGTGGCAAGAATTAAGGAAATGATCACCAACTAAAGAAGCTCTTGATTGTTACTCAAATTCTCCTTGTCAGCACCTTAGGAAATGTATAGAGAATAGTGTGGAGAATATGCATGCTGATGTTAGGTTGTAAAGGGTTAACGCTCGCTGTATCATTATTTACAACATACGCCTCACATCACAGGCCCTGCCGATAGGTTTGATCACAGCTAGGTTATATCAAAGATTACTAGAACGATGTTCCATTAGGCTTTGGTACACGATCGAGTTATCCAACTCACGATTTGGGCCAAACTTAGTATAGTCTAACAAAATGAACAGGGCCTCACATCATAGGCCCTGCCAATAGGTTTGATCACAGCTAGTTTGTATCTAAGATTAGTGGAACGATGTTCCACTGGTCTTTAGTATACGATCGAGTTATCTAACTCACGATTTGGGCCAAACTTAGTATAGTCTAACAAAATGAATAGGGCCTCACATCATAGGCCCTGCCGATAGGTTTGATCACAGCTAGGTTATATCAAAGATTACTGGAACGACGTTCCACTGGTCTTTAGTATACGATCGCGTTATCTGACTCACGATTTGCACTAAACTTTGTTTAGTCTAACAAAAGTTTTGCTGAACAAAACGTTAAAATAACAAAAATTTCTCTTTATTTCAAGAGTACTAACTTACCAATCCGGAATGTCTGATAAACTCACCATCGCTATTAACCAAGAAATCATGTTAAAAAAATGAGTGTAAAGATAAGCGCATTTAAATTTATATTGTAGTGTATACACTTTTTTTTTTTAGGGAGAACCTCCAATTTGGGGGCCAAGGCTAAATGTTCTTTTTCTCTTTTTGAGATTTAACTTTAAACCGTTCTTAACATGTTCTTAAAGTTGTGTGGTATAGTATCGCATAGATAAATTCGGACGTGACCAGGTAACCTATCAAAATGCATTGTTTGCTTAAGTGTATCGTGCAATAGGAAAACCGCATTGTTAATGTTAAAAAACGCCCTAAGTATTTGACTTAAGTTTCCTATTAGACCTAAGTTTTATATTTCTTGTACCTTAATTTACACTACTCAAATAAAAAAAAATGAGCAAAATAAAGACGTCCTTTACTGACTCTCAGCCTGAGTATGTTCTTAGTACGTTGTCAAAATTTTGGTTAACTCTTCAACTCCCAAGTGACCAAGAGAGAATTTCTCCTTACAGTGTCAATGCAATATTAGGCAGACAAGTAATGAGAATAAAGAAGATTAAAAAAATTGGGGGATTATAAGTTGACCCAATACCAATTTCTCCAAACTAACATCACAAGAACTGTATGGCAGACAGTAAGGAGAATTACTAATGAGATCTTGGGAGTTAAAGGGTTAATCTCAGTCTGAACGTTCTTACAAAAAAAGTTTCTTATAAAAAAGAATGTAATTACGGCGGCCCAGAGGGAAAGCGACTTCTCTTTTTCTTCTTAGGCTGAAGGGATTTACTTACGTCTCAAATACCTATAGAAATCGATAACGGAGCTCGTATTTGTAAATATCTACTCACCAGATATTTCTACAACAGGGTTACGCGTAGCAGCAGCTCTGTAGAAATCCTGATATACCATTGAAAAAAAAAAACACAGCATGTGAAATAACCCTACCAACTAGATTCCATTCTGCCGTGTGTATGTTAAGTATTAGATCACAGATGACATCAAAATGTGGTAAAAACAAAAACTGTCATATGAGGTGCGCAATTCTGTCGCGAAAAGTTATTTTGGTAACTTTCCGAACAGAAATTTGCGAACAGAAATGTAGCCTGAAATGCAGACGTCTTATTAGGGCGCATTGATGTTACAAGCTCGTGATTGATTATCCGACCGACCATTTAGCATCAAATTCATTTCTCTCCCCAGCCTACCGCTGCCGTTAAAATCAAATATGGCAGCTATAATTTTCACTGAGAGAATATCGTGTAATAGCTCGCCAAAATTACGCCTGCTCTGCAGGCTTGCAGAGATGTGAATCGCGATTGTTCTTACCGGATACTGTCCAATGAGATGTGTTGTCAAAAATCCCCCATGGGATCCCCCCATAATAAAAACGTTCGATGTGTCGACTTCGCCACTCCCGAGAACTTTCAAAGCCGCACGCTACAAGAAAAGTAAACAACATTTTAAAGCCAATACTTCATGACTGCGGACGCAAATTTGCGCTTGACTAATTTGTAACAATTCTTACGTGAAACATTCCTTTTAAAAGTTAGAGCACAATTCTGTCAAGTAACCCTTTCCACTCCCACGATTTACTTAGCAATTCTCCTTACTGTCTGCCACACAATTCTTAGTATGTTTGTTCGGAGAATTTAGTATTGGATCAACTAATAATCCCCTCATTTCTATTTTTCTTTATTCTCATCACTTGTCTGCTTGATTTTGTATTAATATTGTAAACAAAAAACATTTTTGTCGTGGTCACTTAAAGGATTTTAAGGGTTAAATAGTTTTCCGGCTTAAAGGAGGAACAATTTCTGACCATACTTTGCCCGAGCATACTCTTGCCCCGTTCAAAGTTTGCGGAAAAAAAAAATCATAAAAAGTTTTAAAACACCGAAAATGTCCAAGGACTGATAGTAGATTACATTCCCTTGCTCAAAGAATTTTATCAAAGCCAAATTTTATACTTACAAATAAACGAAATGAACGAAAACATTACTACTTGCACCCGCGCAGACAAGTGAAACGCCCCCTTAAAATTACCTGCACATCCTGTACATCTTGTATTCCGATGTTTCCGGGCAGGGAGTGAAGCTGTGTTTCGCCAAATCCTATGGATCCCCTGAAGTTGACTAGTGGAAAGCAAGACGAACATCAAGGGATTAGGTCGCGCTCTGTTCAACAACTGAAGCATAGAGAGACTGTTCGATTTCTCTTCATGAAATTTGTGATAATCCTTATCAGCAGAAATTGCTATTTTGCTGGCACGTATCGCAGGGTCGGAGACAGGTGCAAAGCGCGGGGAGAGTTAGGATCAGTTGGGGATCTTGGTTTGTAATTTGCAGTCGTTAGAGAGGTGAGGCACTCCACGGCCAGCCTTCGCCGTGTTAAGTTGGGAGGTTTCATTTCCGCTGAAAATGTTGTTTTTAAAATATCGTCATGTTGACAACACTCCAAAGACAGGATTTGGTAAACCTTTACGGCTCGCCGCAATGGCACACGACTTTTTAACCTTGTGATCAAGAAAAAAAAGGAAAAAAAAAGAATAATATAAAAAAACCCAAAGTATACTTTACCACCGAGGATAGCAAATCCAAGTTTGCAGAGACAAGCACTGGAGAGAGAGAAATCTGATAAAAAGGCAGAGTGAGGTCCTCCGTGCGGGAAAACAATAAGCGGGGGCTTCGTTTCATCCTTCAACCCTGGCTTGATGAAAACAGCTTCATACTCATCTTTGAAATCTGTGGAGTCGACAAAGTGTAGTGTTGATTAAATTGTCTTTTAAGCACATAGGAATCTAATATTCAAAAAGTTCCTCTAGAAAATGGCGCTCAAAATTAAAAGCTACTTTAACAAAGATACACCACGTTGCGGGGATCTCAATAAATTTGTCCTTAAGCAGCTGCCAATGGTGCAATATGCGACTGTGCCCAGTAAAAGGAGCTGTAAGACGAGACCCGAAAACCGGAGTCCCCTCGCAGGCTAAACATACGGCGGTATGAAGATTTGTGAGCGGCGGCAAACTCATACCCAGATCCTATCGTGTGACTGAAATGTAGGCTCGGTCGTGGAAGGTCTAGATACGAGACTAAGGCGGAATACCACCGGTAACCAGTTTTTATTGAAATGTCTCTTTTATTCACATTACATTCCAACCTGCGTTCTCGCTGGGTGCAAGTGTCATCACCTTCCATGAAATTTCATTCTCTAGGTTGAGAATTTCGGAATGAGCTAAAACAAGAAAGGACAAATTACTTGCAGCAATTCACGTAATGTTAAGTTAAGATTACATGATTAAGAGAAAACATTTATTTGTCTCACGGAATGAGAAAGATCATTTTCCTTTTCCAGTCTGAACAAGTCCGTTGACTTTTAAGATTTGTCCTTTATTAAATTGTTTCTTTGTGTTCCCCTTAAATAAATCTGATAACAAAGAAATGGATACATCTTTTTTTTTAAACTGCAGATTACAACGAAATAAATTTTAAAAAAGCGAGTCAGGAGCAGTGGGTGCGTCAGCTTTAAAACGCTCGCCAAGTACAGTACCCTCCATTTGTAACGAAAAAAAATTCTCGTAAATTTGTCCTTGGACATTATCTGTTCCTCGTAACTCACTGTTAACCTCGAGCTTCGCTCCTTGGAATAGAGATTGTCCGCTGAAAAGATATACGAACATATTTTCGTGCCAAATGGAAGTTAATATTTTATCGTATTTTCCAATAGGGATTCATAGGATCAATTTCTTCACTGACCTACTTCTATCCAAGATAAACCAGGTTCTGGGATATCAGGTGGTAAAGTTGCCACCATCTAGAGAAAATAAACGAACTTCTGTAACACATTTTACAACACGTTTGTAAAATACTATCTAAATGGCCTGAATAATTATGTTCTGGTCTAATAAAACGGGGCAAATGGCGTCCAAATCGGACTATAGTGTCTCGAAACGGACTCTAGCACCTAAAATCGGAAACAAGTGTTTAAAATCTTTGGACTCGTGTCCAAATATTGGACACTAAAGTCTAAAATTCAAACTAGGACGCTAGTTTCCAAAATTTAAAATCGGACGCTAGTGTCCAAAAACCAAAATCGGCCATTAATGTCCAAATCCAAAATCTGTCACTGGTGTCTAGAATCCAAAATTGGCCACTGGTGTTTAAAATCTAAATCGGCCACCAGTGTCCAAATTCCAAAATCGACCACTAGGGCCCAAAATCCAAAATTAACCACTAAGGTCAAAAATCCAAATGGACTGGAGACAATGACATCAGCACACTCGCCGAATTCACCTAATGACACCTCTCGCAGCTAATTATTTTTTTGTTTGATTGCTTTTTTTCGTCGCGGCTAATTCAGTTTAACTGGAAACGTCTTTGATACAGGCCAAATAAACAGTATCTGGGCAACTGCCCACCTACCCTCCCCTAACCCAGCAACAGTCAATTGATAACAAGTTAGGGTTAATGTTGGGATAGGGGAGGGGAAGGTGGGCAGTTGCCCAGATACTGATATTGATTCTAAAGGATGTTTCTGATTATCTGTTACTCACACCAAAAACAATTCACACAGATACCGTTATCAAAAAGCTTTCTGATTTTACGATAAGCAAAGAAAATAAAAGCAACTTACCAACTTTGGTGGGCTGTTTGGTGACGAATGCGAAGCTAAAAGAATGTTACTATTGATATCAAGGAAGCTCCACGATCCAGGGGCTAACAAAGGGAGGAAATACAAGCAATTACTGGCAAAGAAGTTCATGGCGGAAAGTTTCTAAAGAAACTGTGGCACTGCGTCGGTAGAAGGGAGCGGGCGGTATTTAGAAATAATTTGGTTTGAAAAACTGAGTTGATAATGTAAATTGGCCACCGTGAAGTGTTTCTGAGGCTGACGTTTTGATCGTTAACCCTTTAACTCCTACAAGTGATCAACATAAAACTTCTCCCTATAATATCCATACATTATTCAGCAAACAGGTAATGAGAATATTCAAACTTGTCAAGTAGAAGCTGCTATCTTGATCTAGCACCAAGTTCTCAAAACTAATTTATAAGGAAATGTGTAGCAACTAGAGGTAAGAATTAACAATCAGATCTTGGGAGCTAAAGGGTTAACTTTTCGTCAGAGCGAATAATGAAAGGCTAACGCTTGGAACGTCAGCCTACAGCCTTAGAAACCCCCGACGGTGGCCAATATCCGTCCGCTCCGTGCAGTAAATTACGGAGCCTCTTTTTTTCCGCTCCGATTTATGGCCCGCGCGCCTCGCGCTTGGGCTTGGTTAGCATTATGAGAAACGCAGACTCACCTGATGTCAAATTTGTAACCGTTTTGTCTTTGCAGTTAATGAGAACAATTTTCTGAAAGTGTAAACAA